AATGAGTGTGTGTAGCTTTCGAGTATTCAGTTAGTTGGTACACCTTTGATGACAATACACACCTCCGCATATGTAGCCAACTCGTCTTTCATTCGTTCAAGGTCGGCCAGACCTGAAACAGGGATTATTCTGTGCATAACATCATCCTGCTTGAGGAGTTCCGCAAGTATTTTCGCTGCACACAACGCATCAACATCGGGAGCGACAAGGATTATGACAGACGAAGCAGATGTGAGCGGCGAGCGGCGGTGTGCCACCAGTATGTTTGCGTAGGCCTCAGCATAGGCAGGTCGTGAGGCAGATGCGAGGTGCGGTGGCGGAAGAAAGACCATAAGACTGAAGAAGTATGCGGAGAACGACTTGTGTCTTCCTGTTTGAAACAGACGTTAATCATCATACGCGACGCGTCGCGTATAATAACACGTGCTGTCACACCGTGAGTCTGTCACAAACGCAATATGATGTTCCTTTATTTATTTATTTTTTGGAGAAGCGAGTTTATTACATGGCAACCGACACCGTCTGGCCCTATGTAAACGCTTATAGCAATACTTACTAGTAAGTATCGTCCGAGGAAAAGTGCTCTTATGCACCCTTCACATCTGTGAAGTAGTGTGGGACTCTAATACTACCTGGTTTCCACGGTCTGCGAGGGCCTGGGTACACCACCAACTGCCGAAAACCTCTCACACAGGTTTAAAAGTGGTACCCTGTAGCTGACCTAATAACAGCCCCAGTCCAATGGTGTTCTCGGCACCTCTTACTGAGCAATATGATATATATGTAAGGAAGTATGGGAGTGAAGGGACCAAGAGACCTGCTTACAGCCACCAAAAGAGGTATCAGAGGTGCTGGGGATACCCTGGCAACCAGACCTGTCACATAGGTTGGTTTCCATAGGTTGTACATAGCTCTCCCTGGTATCAGACATACATAGAGTCACAGGTGTCTGTGATGTCTGCTCGACATTGTGTGCATCATCCTGACCTTGCAAGCAATTATTACTGCTATCAATTATGCATATTTTTATTTGTGCTATTGCCATCACACTGAACATCCAAGCAAATGAAGCAGGCCACAAAAAACATTCCATTATGACAAATTGGATACAGATGTGATTAGTAGGTGGAAATGAGTGTGGTATGTATGTATATGTGCATGGATAGGTGAATAAGCAGTGGTGACAGAATCACTGATCCTTGTTCCACAGGAGCTTATTCTGGATGGTGGTCTGCCACTGAGGGGTGTTGCTTGCAAGAAGTTTAGAGTCTGTTCAGCCATGAAATTTAGGCCAACTTAACTTGAGAAATTTGCTTCTAGATTTGCTTTGTAATCTAAGCTCTGTGTGACATCAGTGTGACAATCGATAATCAAGAGATAATGAACAGTCAACATGCCAGTAACTCGAACTCAGACTAGATCTTCAAGGTCCAGGGTTAATACCCACTCAAAATTCAGTGGTGTTCTCTCCCTGCCTTCATATACATCCATGGCAAAAAAAAAAGCAACAGATGAGAAGAAGCAGGGTGAATCAGTGGGCCAGGAAGGTGAAAGATGTAACTGGTCAAGTGCTGATGAGTTATGTCTCCTTGACTATGTCACCACCCATAAAGCAAAAGGGGGTGATGGACTCAATTTTGACAAGACGTTTTGGATGCAGGCTGCTGCTGATGTAGCGCACACCACCACAATTGGTGCAGTGAAAACAGCTGAGGTGTGTCAACAGAAATGGTCTAGGGTATTTTTTTTGGCACTCCCCCTGTCCTCCTATCTTACTAAAACAATTCAAGATGTGTGCCACCTATTCAGTTGTCAACTGGGTTGCAAACTTTTCTGGAATTTTATGGAGCCATGAGCTTGGCACCAACATCATGCCTGAGTCTGAGTCTGTTTGGGTGGATCTCGTTAGAGTAAGTTCTATCTACTGTTTTTACTAGTCCCACTAACTTTTTCATCATCCAGGAAATCCCCCTTGCAAAGAGCTTCAAAAACAAGGGGTGGTTACCATATGAGAAGATGAACACCATCCTGCTGTCAAAGGCACATGGCAGTCACACATATCACCCCCTGCTTCAACATGGCCCCAACTCAGAGGTGGGTGTGAGTGTGACTAGCCACAGATTCAGCTTCCAAGAAGTTGATGCACAGGAGCAGTCCCAAGTGCTGGAGAGTCTCAAGAGTGGTGCCAGCAAAACCTCTGACAAGGACAGCAACACCTTGATGATGCTGGCCCCCTCCTTCTTTGATCCTGCCAGCCAACCTACCTTTGTTCCCTTTAACACTGGGGGCATCTTCCACCATGCTAATTTCAGTGGGCAAGTGGAAGGAGAAGTGCAAAGATGACCGTGACAATGATGACAACTCGTGAGCGCTCATTCACCCCCCCAATTCCTCCAAGTCCATCATCAGTCCATCGGCATCAGGTTGGTCCATCAAATCTGCATGCATCAGCATGCCTGAGGCTGTCCAGCAAGTGGGCTCTGAGATACAGGGTCTCTCCAAGGGTCTCACCATGTCCTTTGATCATGCCACAACTGCCTTGGAAGAGTGCACAGCACACAGTATCTCGCACTCCATGGATCCCATCCCTCTGTGCAAGCAGAAAGCTATCCTTCAGGTGCAGGAGGAGGAGGGTCTAGAGGACCATGAGGTGGTCGCAATCATTGAGCACTTTTGTGCTGATGTTTCTATTGCTGATTCCTATCTCGCAATCAAGAGGGACAATGTCCGCAAACTTTTTTTAATGAAGTATAGTACTTAGTTTGTCCACTCCTTGCAATCTTTGTTTTTGCGCTGCTTTCATAGAATCAAATTCAACTCGTTTGCAATATACAATGTTTGTGTGATCATTACATTCAAAGGTAAATGAATAGTACTACTCCAGGTCATCTACAACAACAGACTTGCCTCTTTCCTGTTGAACCCTGTTGTAGTCTGCCCACATTTGGTGCGCGATAGCATTGCGATGGTCATGGGCATGAGTATGAGCCTCATCGGAGGGAGGACCCTCAGCTTGTGTGCCGGTGTGATGCTCAGGCCCTGCATATCTATCATTGTCATTGTTTTCAACTCAGTGATAATCCATCATGTCATCCAGGTCATGGACCCAGATGACATTGTGCACTAGGCACACTGCAGGGGGGATATGAGCTTGGATGCTCATGGGATAGAAAGGGGGGAGGGAAAGAATTTGGAAGTGGTTCTTGAGCATGCCGAAAATGTGCTCAATAACATTCTGGAGCATGGTGTGACATAGATTGAATAGTTCCCTATAATTACAAGGCCTACAATTTGATGTCAGTATGAAAATGAGGCAATTGAAATGAAACTTACTTGAGATGGCCCCTGCCCCATTCAGCTAGGTGATAATGCACATTGCAATATGATACAAGTAACTCGTCACAGGCTCCAAATCCCGTGTCAGCAAGATAGTATTTTCTAGTGGGAATATTGAAGTCCTTGATCTGAGCATGGTAGTACACATGAGCATCAGCCACTGATCCCTCCCAACCACTCAAGACATAGAGAAACGACATGTTGAATGTACAAGCGGCAAGGCAGTTCTGAGTTAACGTGCCCTTGCAATTGCGCGCAGCATCACGCTCTTTGCCATTGGGGTGACAAGGGATGTGAGTCCTGTCAATGGCACCAATGGCATCAGTGAAGTAGGGATAGTATTTGGAGTTTTGGAGTATCTCGAGAGGGACCAGATCATCTGCATGAGGTAGCTGAACATATGATTGATAGATGGGGGGGGATGCGAATGCATTGAGTATGTGTTTGAAACACCTTGAAAAATTCAGCATTTCAAAGACTCAAGACTGGAATTAGCATACTTTGATATTGTTTCATTGGAGCGCTGAAACCGTTCACCAAGGTGACAAGTAAATAGCCCTGTTACAATAGCATACAGAAAAATAGCAAGCTGCTCCTCGAGTGTCACAAACTTTGAATCACAGCACCTGGAATCATGAAGTAGAGATAAAAGTACATAAAATATGTGACAATGCACACCGAGTTCACAGCATATATGATCTGGGTGTCCTGTAAGTAGCTCATTGACCCATCCTAAGCCTGTGAGAATAGATGTATGGTAAGGTTCCTTGTCATAGTATGACTGCATATGAAGTGAAATGGCCTTTGAGGCACCTGATGAAACTACTGCAGCTGCTTGAGAGGTGCTAAGTAATGCCTTGAAGATCCACTTCTCCATCTCATCTATACTGCTGCCAGCTGTGGTACTTCCATCAAAATCTTTGACAGTAGTCATCTTTTCATTGGCTGGTTCACCGGCTGGGTCAGGTGGGTCAATGGTGTCAATTTTGTGGGCAGGGTTGTTGGGATTCATGTTGTCAACAGCTATGAGTACAATATCCTTATCAATGATAAGCGCAGTGCTGAGCATGACATATACCTGTCCTTACAAATCATGACAAAGCAAATCTAGAAGCAAATTTCTCAAGTTAAGTTGGCCTAAATTTCATGGCCAAACAGACTCTTAGGAATAACCATGTTGCCAGGAAATTCAGCAAGGTCCTGCTGGAAATATTCCACCTGGATTCTTGGTAATAATGAGTAACTGTTTGCAAGGTATGATAATAAAACACCTACTGCTGAAATGTGGTTTCATATCCTGTATTTCCACTCTGATCAGCAGCAGCCTCCTCCTTGGCAATTTTGCGAATGTTTTCGAGTGAAATATTGACAAAGTCCCAAAATTTCCCCATGCTGAAAATAATAGGCCTGCCATTGTCCCCAAAGCCAGAGTTGTCTGGGTGAAGCGGCTAGCTGTTTAACACAGTGGTATCAATGCCTTCATTATCTTCAAGCTCATAGTCCTGGTCCACATCCCCATTCCCACCCAAGTGCTCATCCAAGTTGTCAGTCCCAGTGGAATCACCATTGTCACCTGTAGCACATGTACCTTGGGTTTCCCCATGTTCATTGGTCACCGATGTGTTATCCGGTGGTATACCATCATGATCTGCCTCGTCACCATACAACTTGTGCTCGATGCTGTTGATGTCAATGCCGAGCTTTGGTCTGATTCTAGCATGGACAGCCAAGTGGAGAGATGGTATGAGTGAGTCTGAGTAGAGAGCCTTGAGTGAAAGAGCCCTGTGGTCACTGATACCAATCATGAAGACACACAAGCAGTGCCACTAATGTTGAATGTGATCATCCTATAATATCTGATATAACAAAAACATACCAAAAAAGCGACCCTATTCCAATGAGCAGCATCAACCTCTATACAGCCATGAGCAAGCAATTTTGATGTGTCCATTATGCTCAGGCATTTTTGGATAGATGAGAGCAACTGAGTGATAATTTGAGAATTTTCTAGCACAAAGTACTAAGGCGCATACCTTGGACTTCATGCCACCTTGGATTGATGAAAGAAGATCACTAATGATTGTTGCACATATTGCGCTGAGCTCCACATCCTTGAATAGTGATGAAGGAACCTTGAAGATGCTGCTGTTGTCCTTAATAAAGGTCTGTTACAGTGTCAGTCTCATGAGATAGTTGATATCAAAGGAGGTTACTGAGATGTTTGGGAGCGCATCCATCTTATATGCAGTCAGACAATTTTGGAGGCCAGACTGCATAACATTAAATTAGCCTGGCAACTTGTAGTGTAGAAATTTAAAATACCTTGAAGTCCTTCGAGTTTAACAACTCTTTGACATCAGCAAGCATAGCAGCCTTTCGAGTTGAGTCCATTTTCATCATGCATACTTTAAGATCAATAAGCATATAATATATTCCACCAGTCTAAAAAATTAAAATCAAAAAAGAGTATGCACATCAAGCAAAGCAACTCACATCAATGAAGTCAAATAGACCCTGTTCTGGAACATCATTCTCCTTGGCCACTTTCTTCACATATGTTTTGAGTTGTTTTGCACGTGAGGGTGTCAGCACAGTTGGATTGCCCAGGCCAGCATCATAGTATGTCCTTTGGTGATGTACACCAGCACTAATAGGCTCCTTGAGTGAGTCATCAGACAATTCAGGAGAGCATCGAATGCTGCCACCATGTCCAATGCCAGTCTGGCCTTGTGAAGCAGATGTTTTGAAGGTGCTGAGTGGTGATCATGCTTGACCAATATCTCCCACTGCTGCAGAGCTGCATGCAGAAGAAGGTCTAGTTTGATCAACTTGAAGCCTGCCTGACATTGAGGTGCTCCTTCCTCAAGACCTCAACAAATTAATGTCTGGTGTTAGCAGAGAACTACTACCACCCCCCAAACCTCTGTTCTGTGTACCAGCCAGAGGTTTGGAACTGCAAGGATGCACAGGATAGCAAGAGATCATTGACAAGGAAAATGCAGTGGATTCTGCCTGGTGCTGCACAGGTGATGGTGAATGAACATCAAAGCACCCTGAAAATTTGGTTGAAGTTAATCATAACGTAACTTTGTAACTTTGAGGGCACACAAGGGAGGGTCAAAATCCAGGGAGCTGAGCACAACAAAAGCATGGAGCACTTGGAAACAAAGGAGAGCATGAATTGAGTATACAAGTAGTACTTTTCTCAACAGCACACTTTGCCCATGAGTTAGAATATGAGTATGGAAGATTGGAGTTTTGTGCAGTGAAGAGCATAAGCAATAAAATGGAGGAGCTTTGCTAGAAAAGCAGTATAGATTATGGAAGAATGGAGTTTTGTGTGGTGAAGTGCATAAGCAATAAGATGGGGGAGCTTGACTTTCAAGCCAATAACTTATCCTTATTCTTTGGTCCTTGTCATCTCTAACCATAGCCAGGCAGCTGAAAGTAGGGGTTTGGGAGACTTTGGAACTGCAGTTTGTGAGGCAGTGTCATATGAAAGTTCAAGCCTGAGGCTGTGGGAACCAACCATGCATTGGCAGGGTGGATGTCTGTACTTTGGTGATAACTTGAGTGAATATATGGAGCTGGTGGTGGTAGATGAGGGTAGTGCATTTGAGGGTATGATTGAGGTGCAGAAAGGTATGGCTGTGCCAGAGGAAAGTGCAATTGTAGTGGATGGTGCAAATGGGGTATAGAGGGGCAGAAGGATTGCAGTGGAGGGAATGCATTTGTTGGTAGCATAAATTGGCCCTGAGTGTGTTGGACCAAAGAAGTGGATTGTACCAGGGGATTTTGCTGAGTGGATGGTGCCTCAAGTCCAGAGGATCCAGCAACGGCTTGGCCAGCACAAGACAACACTGTAGCCTTCCTTCCTTGTGTGCTGGAGCCAGTGCCTGCCTTTGCTTTTGACTTTGCAGCAGTCTTTGGTCTGGCAGGAGGTTTATCAAATGTGGGTGCTGGCATCAAGGGGCCCTGGATATCATTTTCTGTTCTTTCAGCTTCTTGCAACATGTCACCAGCTTTCTTTGAAGCCTTCTTCTCCTTCATGTGCTGTACAGCAGTTGCCCAAACTTCTGCAATGTTAGTAACTCTTAGCAGTGTTTCACAAAGTGTCTCCAGAATGATAAGACAGATATAACTGTAGTTATGAATGGAGTAGGCATTGAGAAAATAATTTGGAGTGGACTTATGGTGGATGGTAGGTATCATTCACAAAGTTTCAATCCATTCTTGATGCATGGCCATCTGGAGGGTGTCTGTGCACTGTGAATTGATACAATTGTGCTGGAGATTGATCACACATTTGATATCCTGTGTGACAGTAGTCAGTATAGCTCGTGCGTTTGTAGAATGACCCACTGCTGCTGTTACGACCACCTCATCATCCAAAAGGTTGAGACATGGGAGATGAATGGAAGGATGTAGTGTATCAGCAAATGCAAAAAGCTGCAGCACAATGTGTGACATGTTGTCATGATCATTGGATGACATCAGAATCTCCAAAATTCGTCCAATTGCCATTTAGTGATATCTTGTGAACTAACAGTTGTGAACATGATCAGAAATCATTCACCTGCCCATTTGTCGCTTGATGGAAGCCAACATGACTGTTTAAATGTGCAACATCGCCCTTGCTTGCTACAAGCAATTTTCCATGAGAATAACTAGTGCCAGGCTTTGCAGTCTTCAAGATCTTCACACAACAAGTGTTCTTCCAGGCCACTGCACCCTTTCTGGTTGTTTTTCCATTGGTGCCAATAGTAGATTCAGCCTTTCTGGAACATATGTAAATCATTAGCAAAGATAAAGCAAGGTGTGATACACTTGATTTACCAGGTACAGGAGGGCTACAAACAAGGTGTGACAATCCAAGCAATTGTGCTTGTTCTGGGTGATTGTATATATATCCAAGAACCTCTTGACTTCCTTGAACCCATTTTGAGGTCTTGGAGTCATACCAAAATTCATCTGTAGCAATATGTTTGACAATATCTTGATGAGTAAATATCCTGCAGCTGTCATGGCTTGGAGCTTGATGGTTGCTGTATATACATGTCAAATGGAAAACATGATTGAATGATTCATAGCATTTGGTTGAAAATATAATCGTGGGTCCAAACTGATGGATGTATGCTGGGAGGTGGATCAAGAAGTGGAATTTTGGTTTGCTGATGATGATGCTGGGGGAACACTGTGCTGTGACGTTAAGAAAGTCTTTGATTGTCTGAGATAGGTTTGCCTAGAAGACACAGAGGATAAGAACTATAACTTCAAATACATGTGAATTAACCTACAAGATAGGCTTTGGTATTCAGAATCTTCATGTGCCAGATGAGTACAATGAGTTCGCCCATTATTGTCCAGGCATTGAGGACTGTTGAAGGGACGAGGTTGTAGATTATGAATGGCATCACCTGCAACAGGCTCTTGAAGTGCTTTCTAATCAGACTACCCTTGTAATGGCAGATGTATCCTGCATTCAAGCATGGAGTGTTCAGTCCATCTGTGTCGATGGACTGGAGATGGGTTTGAAAAATGTCCATAAGCTTTGCTTTGTCAAGTAAAAATATGGTTTGTCCCCAAAAATACTTCACAATGCTGAGTAGCACAGTGTGCAGTATTTCCATTGAGCCTTAGCAAAAACATGAACAAGACACCAATGACTCAGAAAAAAACTGACTGTTCATTCCCAATAATGGGTTGAGGGTGTCTTCAAGCTTGTCACCTTGTAGAAGCTCTTCAAATTCTCTCTCCAGTGCAGCTGTGACTTCAGCTTTGGACTTTGCTTGAGTGCTGACTGTATGTTTTTGAAGCCTCTTTCCAAGTTCTACAAGAGTGTTCATGATGGAATTTGAGGCTGTATCATGAATGCCTGTTGTCGATACCAAATTCTTGATTTTCTCAGTAGCACCAGGCTTCAGCGCCATCTCAAATTGTTCCCAGATGTTCACAACAGTGCCTTCTGGTATTCGAAGATTGCCTGACTGAATCACATCATCAGTAGTTGAAATACAATTAAACTATGTTCTTACTGCAAACAGGCTGCTATAGCCATCCTTAGAAGCTTTGTACTCCTTTGTTCCACTGATGCCACACATCCAGCAGAAGTAGTTGCAGTTCAATCCTGCATGACTACATTCTTCTGCTTGCATTGGGTTGTTGCCAGCAATAAAAAGCCCGCATGGGATCAATAACACTTCTTCATTGTCTTTGCAATCCCATGCAGCGACCCCAGATGTAGCTGCATTACTGTAAATCTAGTTAGAGCTTCAATCTGAGCGAGTGAATAAAATAACAAACCAAATGGACTGTTTCATTGCCTGCATAAGTTCCATGGGAGTGGCATGCAGTGAGGATGTAATGAAGCACACAAAGAACTCTTTCTCCAGCATTTCATGTGGGAGGTTCATGTTTGACATGTAGATTGCATGGTGTTTGTTCCATTGTTTTGATATGTTGCTGGAAATGTCATCCATGAAGATGATGAGGGGGACCATATATACCATGCGACTGTTTGCCTTTGCATGCAGTGGATTTGGTGAAAGCATTGCATATTTAGTTGATGAGGCTGTTTATCTCATGTTAATCTTGCAGTTACCAAGACAAGTAAATGTAAAACGTACCAGTAAGGCCACAATCAAGTTCACCCTGAGTCGCAGCAATGTCTTCAAAGGACCGCATGAAAGCAGATGTGGGTATGATCTCTTGTTCCTCATTAATGATAAATCCAGCCTAGTAGTGCAATTAGAACATATACATCATAGTAGGTGCACAATGATGATGTACCTCTGTTCATTTGACCACCCAAACAAGTGCATATAAGGGCTTCATGACTGAATTCTCGTGGGATTTGCCATTGTCATCATCCAAGTCTACAGGTGGAGAGGCATAGAAAAAATGTTCTGGGATGAAGTAATCTCCAGAAGTATCTTGTAACAGTTCATCTGTGAAGTACTGTCATATCCGCATATCCGGATCTCAGATCCGACCCTTATCTCAGATCCACATCTTATCTCCGATGCTATCCACATCTTATCCCCTCCAACATCTCGTCATTCAATCTGTCCACTCGTCCAGTCCGGTCCACAACTCATCTGAATCCACAACCAGCGCTTGTCTCTTTTTGGTAACCCCCTAACTCCGGTATTTCGGTTATCTGTATATCCATCCTGCTCCCTTATCTGCTACCTATGTTTCATTTCTGTTTCATGATTTGTGATCTGTTTCTACTTACCAATAGACTATCCACATGCTTCATACATAGCCTTGGACTCTGCTGATTGATCATTCCGTTAGATACCTATAGTATATAACCTCCTGTAACTTTCTGTAGTACCTCAGTTCGGATATCATCTTAGTTCTGCTCATTCCTGTCCTCTGGACTTGAGTACCTCTACTCTCATCACCCTCCGAGACTTAGGATTGATTCCTACAGTGGCTCCAAAAACTGTCCGCATGTTTTGACATTTTTCACTATCTATGATATTGAGTGAGAATGAACGAATGCCTCAAGGACATGGTTATACCACATTGTAGTATGGCTTCAGGGCTTTCATTTGAGCCCTACACCGTGGGAATCGGCGGAGATATGGTGGAGATACAAGACTCACAAAATGGTGACTCATGTGGACAGTTTTTTGAGCACATATTAAAACTATATAAATCATCATTTATGACACCATAACAATCATGCCACCATTAAATAAATTATAAAGTGGTGTCATTATGTCATTTTAAAACCATATCTAACTATACAAACCAAAAATTTCCATATGTCATGGTTATATTCACCATGAAAGCCACCCCCCCTGCTCAAAGGGATAATATCCTCTCTCTTTCCTATTCTGGCCTCTCTGCTTGTCAAATTTCCTCTAGAACTGGAGTATCCAAGTCCACTGTGGCCAAGTTCATCAAAGAAAGTCACACAGACAAGGAAAACTTCTGTGAAGGGCATCCATCCAAGCTCACCTCTACTGATAGGAGGGCTATTATTCAACATATCACTACAGGAAAGGCTGATAATGCTGTCCAGGTCACCTATTACATCAATTCCACCATCACATTCCCTGTCTCTTCACACACTGTGAGAAATATTCTCAAGACAGCTCATCTCAGGTCAGTAACAAGGAAGAAAAGGCTCTCCTCTCTATCACACATATGCAGAGAGGACTAGCACCCTTCTTTTTTCACATATATACCTTGCCATCTGACCCAATCCTATTTATTGTGGTCTTATATGATCATATAACATGCTTCCAGTCCATGTAATCCAATTCTGATGGGCTAAGGCAAAGGTTAGTCATCTCTGTTTATGTGTGATAGAGAGGAGAGCCTTTTCTTCCTTGTTACTGACCTGAGATGAGCTGTCTTGAGAATATTTCTCACAGTGTGTGAAGAGACAGGGAATGTGATGGTGGAATTGATGTAATAGGTGACCTGGACAGCATTATCAGCCTTTCCTGTAGTGATATGTTGAATAATAGCCCTCCTATCAGTAGAGGTGAGCTTGGATGGATGCCCTTCACAGAAGTTTTCCTTGTCTGTGTGACTTTCTTTGATGAACTTGGCCACAGTGGACTTGGATACTCCAGTTCTAGAGGAAATTTGACAAGCAGAGAGGCCAGAATAGGAAAGAGAGAGGATATTATCCCTTTGAGCAGGGGGGGTGGCTTTCATGGTGAATATAACCATGACATATGGAAATTTTTGGTTTGTATAGTTAGATATGGTTTTAAAATGACATAATGACACCACTTTATAATTTATTTAATGGTGGCATGATTGTTATGGTGTCATAAATGATGATTTATATAGTTTTAATATGTGCTCAAAAAACTGTCCACATGAGTCACCATTTTGTGAGCCTTGTATCTCCACCATATCTCCGCCGATTCCCACGGTGTAGGGCTCAAATGAAAGCCCTGAAGCCATACTACAATGTGGTATAACCATGTCCTTGAGGCATTCGTTCATTCTCACTCAATATCATAGATAGTGAAAAATGTCAAAACATGCGGACAGTTTTTGGAGCCACTGTATAGTCTATCCATATCCGCCTCTGTCCCCGACAGTCCACTACCGTTAGTTTCTAGTCTGGACTTGTCCGGATTAGCCATACGATACTTATCCCTCATCCGGAAGTCATCCAGATCCGCTACGCTACTCGTCCGACCTTCTGGATGCGCTAGTCTTGCCTTCCTGAAATAAGGGGCAATACTCGGGTAAGGGGCACAGCGCACAAGCTGAGGCCAAAGCCCTTCAGATCCAGTTACCCTTTGAGTATGACCTTAACAAGTACACAGTTCCATCCACTCGAGCTGCTGGTGGTGACAGAAGATTGAATAACATTTTCTGGCCATTAAAGACCTGTGACATCCCCTCACCACTGTCCTCGGGATAATTGTGCATCACAAAATGTGTAAGTGGATTTGCATAATCCTGAATGTAATGTCACTGTTGAATGGACACGAAAGACATGCTAGATGTACCTTTGTGATTGCTTCTGCAATGTTATTGATATAGAATACATCACCAGCATATGATGTCATCTTCTGAGTTAGATTGCTGACAAGCTCATCTAGGTAATTATGGCACTTCTTCATTGCACTGAGTGACAGGACATTGGCAGTGCCAAGCTCTTTGGCCCAGTTGAGCACAGCTCTCTTCTGGGAGTCAGAAAACAGGATGCATGGAGAGCTGAAAAGAAGCAATGTTATAAAATGCTTGATGAAATGTAAGCATTAGTTTTCTGACAGGATGAGAGACTTACTGCTTTTGATGGCCATAGATGAGTTGGATTATCTACTGAGACATTCTCGAAGTTCGTGGACACCTTGTCAAGGATTTCATCTGGTAGCATTGTTAGATACATAGCCCCATAGAAGGAATAATGAGGCACTTACCAGGGAGCTCAACCCCAAAATCAGGTTCAGCTTTGTTGATGAGCTGATGCTCCTCATTGGTGGAAGATTGGAAAAGTCATGTTGAGAATGGTATTTTGCCCATAGCAAGGCTTGTTTGAAGCTCAGCAAATAAGTCTGGACACTTTTTGTCAAGCTCAAGAGTCCGATGGCCTATTATGCCTTTCATGAGCTCTGATAACCTGAGGTCAAGGTCCCTGCCCTCTGGCACGGGTGCTGCAGGAAGTGGTACACCAGGCTGCATGTCAACAAGCAGTGGGTCTGAGTCACATACAGTGACTTCCATGAAGGAGTTGTCAGCCTTGAAGGAGAATTCAATATCAGTGGCAGTTGTGGGCTCCATGATTGTTGTGTCAGTGTCCTTATCATCTGGCAAGGCCTCAGGCTCAACTTGGACTGGACACTGAAGCCTCATTAGTCGCTGCTTGAGATAATTAGCATGATGGATGTGGATTGCCTGCATAATGTGCTTCTTGGTGTGATGCAGCTCCATTACACAATAATGGCCATTTTTCTTTGGGCATGCCTTGCATAGGATCTGCTTTTGATTGTTATCGCAGAACTGCAGAACTGCAACCACCAGGTCAGTACATATAGAAATTTCAAATACATGAGGAAAATACACACTGATGCCATCGATGATCTCAGCATTGTGAGTCATGCTTGCCAACTTCGAAGACTTGGAGCCCCTTCAGTGACAAACTTCATATTATACGGGCCAGTGGACTATGGGCTAATGTTATGTATATCCTTGATATTGACGGGTGGGCCCATCTATGCTGATGTTATAAATATCCTCGATGATGGCAGATGGGCCAGAAGAAATATTATTACTGATGGAGATGGGTGGGCCCATCTGGGCAATATGTAGAGTAGGATAGACATATATTATAGACAGCTGGGCTGAAGAGAGATGTATGGTAGATATTATTATATAGATGGGTGGGCCAAGGTGGGGGTTATATTAGATAGACAGGTGGGCCGATAGGGCAGGGAAATATGTATTATATATATGGGTGGGCTGACACAGGGTATATTAGATAGATGGATGGGCCAACAGAGGGGGATGTCATATAAACAGGTGGGCCCAGATACATATCATTTAGATGTATGGGCCGAGGTATTGGTATACTATATGGACATATGAGCAATGCTGTTGCACTAGTTTTGATCCAAGTCATCAATGACATTCAGACTCAGATCCTGTCAATGTCAATCAAAGTCAACACAGCGAGTACCAAGTCCCGAAACCTGAACACCAAACCCCGAACATCAAAACCCAAAACCCAAAACTTCAAAACACCAACATCAAAACTCAAAACTCAAACATTTTTATGACTGTCAAGTTTCCAGTCTTGAATCACTGAGTCCTGCATACCGAATGCTGACACCTGAAGTTGTGTCAGTACTCAGACTTCGGGACTTGGTGATTTGATACTTGAAAGTTGTACCAATATCTGAATTTTGAGTTTCAAGCTTTGCATTTCAAGACTCAAATCACCAAGTCTCAAGTCCTGAGTCCTGACCATTGAAACCCGACACCTGAAACTCGAAGGTTGTACCAATATCTGAATTTTGAGTTTCAAGACTTGAATCACTGAGTCCTGAAACCCGAAACTCGACAGTTGTCAAAATGTATGAGTTTTGAGTCTCGATTTTCAAACTCGAAACTCATACATTTTGACAACTGTCGAGTTTCGGGTTTCAGGACTTGGCGATTTGAGTCTCGAAACTCAAAATTCAGATATTGGTACAACCTTCGAGTTTTGGGTGTCGGGTTTCAATGTTTGGGTTTCATGTTTCAGGACTTGGTGATTCAAGTCTTGAAACTCGAAATTCAGATATTGGTACAACTTTTGAGTTTTGGGTGTCAGGTTTCAATGGTCAGGACTCAGGACTCGAAACCTGACAGTCATAACAATGTATGAGTTTCAAGTTTTGAGTCTCGAATCACCAAGTCCCAAGTCCTGAAACCCAAACATTGAACCCCTTATATCAAACCCCAAAACCTGAAACTCGAAACTTGTCAAAATGTATGAGTTTTGAGTTTTGAGTTGTGAGTTTACAAATCGACACTCAAACCTCAAAACTCATGCATTTTGATGAGTTTTGAGTTTCAGGTTTCAGGGTCAATATAAGGGGTTCGATGTTTGGGTTTTGAGTTTTGATGTTTGTTTCTAACTTTCAGGTTTTGGTACTCAGTGTTTTGAGACTCAGTGATTGAATAAATGGACTGGCAGAGGTAACATTCATTGAAAAACTTGTATATATGTCTATCACTATGCAATTATGTAGCCATGTCAACCTCCTCAGAAGATGCTTCAATGTTCACCTCAACATCCATGTCATTGGAAGAATCATATTGTTACAGTCATGTACACCCCTATTCATTTTCCTTTCCTTTTCCCTTGTATTACATCACAAGCCGTATGTTGCTGCCACTAGACTTACTTCTGACTCATCTGTATTACATCACGATCGCCACTGCCGTCGCTAGATGACTCATTCCTTATCTCTGACTCGTTTCTTATCTCTGACTCATTGTTGACTTACGCCTACCCTAAACTACCTAGATTCACTATATATAGTCAACCTTGTACTCAGTAGTTCTTTACTTTAATCTTACTAGGTTTTCACCTGAAACTTTCCTCGCTTAGGACCTCCAATCCTAAGTCGTCTAAAGCCAATATTCAAGTCAGAGACACTCTCTTTGCCTTGTCTTACGACCCTTACATTTGTAAGGTCTTGAACAATAACTTCAGCTGACACTCTTATTGAGCCGTTGTTGTTACGACCATCCTAGTTCGTAACACATATTCTGGGACCAGGTTGCCTGGATCACCCAGGTCCACAATTTCGCTGGACATATCTGGAACCTCTGGTTGAACAACCTGGTTGTACTCAAACAGGAGGCCCTCAATGGCAGAGGCATCCTCAAATTTCAGGGGTGCGGGCATCATCTCTCCAATCAAGAGATCAATGAGAGGAGGGAGTGCAGATGTGGATGGTGACATGGAGGGGGGGATGGATTGATCAAGCAACAAGGATGTTGCATTGGCTGGAGGTTTGGGAAGTGGGAATGCAGGGTGCTGGTCGATGATTTTGTGCCTAAGGCCTTCATGGAGGCATTGCAGGGTATCAATCTTACCGTCCTGCTCTGCCACACGAGTCTCGAGAATGGCAATGCGAGCTGTGCCATCCCGAATTGCAATTGCCATGGCATGGAGATCCAGCATGGGCAGGTCAAGTGCTGCAGCAGGGACTGCCAAACCGGGTGCTGGAGCAGGCACTGCTGAACTCAAAGACAGAAGTGCTACAAGGGAAAATCAAGGTCACATGGTGATGAAAAAAAACTTGGGTGACTTATGAGCTGGTGCAGGTGCAGGTGCCTTGACAGCAGTGATGGTCTTGCTGTGACCACATGTCTGGGTCTTGGGGGTTGTCACAGCTGCAACACCTGGAGTTCCAGACTTGCCATGAGACTGACTGTGAGTCCGGGCCTTGGATTGGGAGGCGGGGGGAGCTTTGGAGGGAGCCTTGGAGGGCGTCCTGGACCTTGTGTTCCAGGTGGTAGAGGATTCACAAACACATTTCAGCAGGGTACCCATAGTCACTGGGATGCACTTGACCTTCTTTGTTGTGCAGCGGACGTGTGACATACATGGATTCCTGGTCCTCTTGTCCAACTGAGTTGCGCAGTCCCAGTTTAGCTTGGTGCAAACCTGGCATGGGTTGTTCAGTGGATTGTGTTAGTGAATGGATACTTGTCAAATAAATCAAAGTACTCACTGGTCTGGGAATGAGAATATCACCTCCATTGATGACTGGGGGTGCCTCCACCGGGCTTTCAGGAGTTGGCTGGGAGGGCTTGATGACTGCCAGGTGACTGCTGGCAATCACCTGGTACATTGTGAGCATACACCTGAGTCCTGGATGCATCAATGTGACTTACTGTAGCAGGGCCAAAGGGCTTTTTGGTCAGAACCTGGGGTGATCTAGGCAAATTGGAGAGCTGGGGAAGGATGACATCCAGCACTCCACCTGAAAATGGCTACAAAAAATGTGAGCCAAGTCAAAGACGAACCAGACAACATACCTGAATACCCACATCTTCCTCATCTTCTGAGTCCACTAGGGGCTTGGACATCACCCAGCAAGAGGACTTCACACACTTGTGAGTCTTCATCGCAGACTTTGGCAGTTGGGAGGAGAGTCCTGAAATCATGGGAGACTTCCTCTTCTGGCTCCCTTCCACCTCGGGCTCTGGGTCAGCATCAATGGCCTTACCTTTCCCCTTGTCTGTCATATCCCATATGCTAGACATAGATCCCATCATATTCCCACGCTTTCCGGACCTATTTCCGGACCCCATATCCAACTCATTCCTGGATCCCCTATCCTGTCCACCCTATGCACATTCCATCCAGCAAGACATCTGGACTTTACCTCCTCTCAGATTCCGGACTACATCCACCACCTCACATATCTCAGTCCTGTTTCCACCCTGCCTTCCGGATCCCCAGATCTCTGGACCTCTGGATATTAACTGTACTATCTCTGGACCATTCCCACCCTCTGTCCGAGATCCTGTGCCTATCCCCATTTAGGCATCTCCGCCTTTCCGGTGTAGGGAATGAGATTCCTCCAGGCGTATATTGCCCATATTGCAACTCATGACAATTGGTATAGTGTGCAACTCACTAGCTATGACTTTTCCGTGAAACACGCCAGAGGCGCGATGCTTTCCTGCACTATGCGACGCATTCCTGTGCACGTGCTTAGCACGCTCTTCCCACGCTCAATCACACTTTGTTGTGCAGCATCCTGGAGCATCCATCCATTGTCCAACCAGTCCCCTGGTGCATCCCTTTTCATTTATTCTCATATTTAGCATTATATGACACTATATTTTGTCATGGACCCTTTATTTACCTCACTTACATACATAGAGCGCTCCCTGTTTGCTTCCAAGCCCTGGGAGTGCACCTAGGCACAGCTTACCTGTTGCCTGGGAAGTTTTGATACACCAACCACTACGAGATAGACACCAACCATGTCAGTAGTCACCTAGAGTTTGAATCTATGTATCATCTTCAGCCAGTATGCATCAGAGTCGTCGCCCTAGTCCTCAGCTCAGTCTCTTCATCTCCAGTCTTAGTTCACACCTTCACACCTTCCATCAGTCTTTACACATTTGCGCACCACATGCGCTCTATTCCCACGCTTCGCGCACCTATGCGCTCGACATTCCCACACACATGCTTTCAGTGTGCTTCACCAGAGTTGATCTGGCATCACTTCGTGGATTTGCTTTCCTTGCTTCCCTTAAGGGTCGAACATATCGCCTGGCACACTTTGACCAACACTTAGAGAGTCAGTAGCCTTCCTCTCACCCCAGGGTGAGAGCCCTCTGTCTTCCTTTAGCTCTGCAGCCCAGCGGAGTTGTTGAACCTTCACCGGTTCTCGGTTATCTCTGTTTCCATCTTGCTGATTGATCCTTGTACTAGTTTCATCTCCGAGTTCATTTAGTTATGTTCCATCTTACTTACCAATGTGTTTCTGCATGCTCGTACATAGCCTTACTCCTTTGCTTACTGATCCTCTCAGATAGCCTCTAGTATATAACCCCTGTACAACTACAGTAGAGTCCTCAGTCTGAATATCATCTTAGATCCTGTTCTACTTGCCAATCATCTTCTGGACTTCAGTCCATCTGAGTCTCATCCTTTTCCATAAGGCCTAGGGAAGGATTCCCTAGGCTGGAATTCTGGACCTTCAGATTTGTCCCCTATGTCTCTGTCCCAAGTCTAGGGATTGCTTCCCTAGACTGGAGTCTTGCCTTTCTGGCACTTACCCTCTTTCCAGACTTAGTTCCACTTCCTGTCCCTCCAACTCTACCTTAGGGTAGTCTACCTCTGTTTGCTTCTACATCAGACTTTGTCCGATGTAGCCCCTATTCCTTCCAGACCTCCAGACCTCCTGTCTTCTGTACCTCCGGATGTCCTGTCCCTCATACCTCCGGGCATCCTGTCCTTCAGACATTCCACCCTCTGTACCTTCGGACATTCCGTCCTCCATACCTCCAGACCTCCTGTCCTCCATACTCCAGACCTCCGGACATCCTGTCCTCCTGTCCTCTGGACCTCCTATCCTTCCATCCTGTTTTCCTGTAGAAGTATTACCTTGCAGTGGGAACTCTCCTGAGCATTTCCTGCATTCCTCCGGAACTCTCCCATGCTCCTCCAGAAGTCCTCCTGCACTCTCCACCAGAGTAGCCAGCCTCTGGAAGTCCTCCGGACTTCGTCAGACCATCATCAGACTTCCTCTGAAATGAAGGGCACATACTTGGGTAAGGGGCACAGCATATGAGCTGAGGCCAAGCCCCTCTGAGTCAGTCTCTCTCTCCTTTGAGCATGGTTCTTAACATTGTCCCGGAACTCAGTGGTGGTGCCAGTGGAGGGACTGGTGACATTGCCAGTGTGGATGGGTGGGGAGGGAAGGTCCACTGGAATTGGACCTGTGGAGGGAGGAGCAGCAACTGGGAGATCAAAGGTATGGTCACCTAAGGCCTCCCAGGCGAGGAGCTTGGGGCGCCAGATGTGTGTCAAGAGATGGAGATCATCATACCCAATATTATGCTAGTTGGGCCAGACCTGGGGAGTCATGCCCCAGACACACAATAGCTCCTTGGAGCACAAAAGCATGATGCCGGGCAGGGGTCCAGACCCATAGTCCTTGATCACTTGAGCCTGCCTGGATGTTAGAGAGAAAAAAAGAAAAAAAAAAAGAAAGCTACATACCACAAGTGAACTGACCTGTGTTGTCAGAGAAAAGTGGCTGTTACCCAGGGGAATCTGCTGGGCACCGCTGATGATGGCCATGATCTGGGCAGTGGATGCCTTGAGACCAGTCAAAGAGTTGTCAACTGGAGTGGACATGATGATTGAGTTGAGAGATTTGAATATCTTAAAATGGGGTTGAAGTCTGTTATCACAAAAATGAAGTTTCAAAAGAAACAACACATTTGATGGACAATTGATAAAATTGTTGATTGTTTGTCTTTGTTTGGTCCCAGTTCAACTTCTGGCAATCACTGGTTTTGTGTTGAACTTCGAAGTTTTTGGAATTATCAGTCAACAAATCAGTAAGTTCCCCACACAACATGAGTCCACAGTCAGCCATTCAATTCAATGACCCTCCAGTGACCAACTACAATTCAATGGATGTGGATGAGTCCACTGTGTCCTGGGCATCACTAGGTGTGTTGTATTTTTATCATGCCTTATCTATTTACCAGGTATCCCTTAGATGATCTATACCTAGGGCCGGATGATGACATAGAATATGATTCTCCATCATCTGGATCACCGGATGTCTTGGCTGCAATACCCAGTGAGTTTATCCATTCATTAGGATCGAGGATCACCATGCATGCTCACTAAACCCTTGCAGATCAATCACCTCTGGCTCAAGCTGATCATCCAGGTTTTCTCATTGATCCAGACTTGTACCTTGGGCCTGAGGATGATATCATTGATGTGGATGAGTTGCCAGATTCTGCCAATCCTGAGATTGATGTTCCGGCTGCATCAGAAGTGTCTATGTCATGTGAGTCCATTCATTCCAGAGGATTATAGATACTTATTGTATCTTCCAAGTGGATGACACCTCTAACGAACTTCATTCAGAGCAGCTGGAGCTCACTAACGAAGATTTACATTCAATGGCCCAGGAGTTCCAACCATTCAGGTCATATGAACACACCAGGTGTGAGTATCTGACAAAGCAGATCATTTATCTCTGTGCTAATTTTTCTGCAAGTGCAATCCATTCAAGATCGACTTGGTGATTACAAACACCATACCAGGGATCTTCCTGATCCTTCCATTCCACTGCTACTCGAGGCTGAGTGACCCTTCCAGATGGCTTGGGCAGAAACTTCTGACAAACTCAGAAGAGCTGATGTGGACCTCCAGAGGTTGCAAAGAGCCCAACAGATGAGCATTGAAATGCTCAAGGTAGTAGATTCACTGATCAATCAGTTTGAAGATCAGATTCAAATGTAAAGTACTGAATGTTTGATAGTACTCAAATCACATGTAAACTTCCAAATTTTCATTAACATACCCACATCATGTAAACAACTGAATTTGTGACACATTCCTCTTCCATTTCCAATTGAGTTCCAGAGGCTCAGGTGTTCCTGGGTGTTGAACATGGAAGTTTAAGTCTTGCTTTGGCTCACCAAGTCCCGAGTGTCAAACACCAAAGTTCAATTCTTGCTGTACAGAGGATCACCAAGTCCCAAGTTCAATTCAAAGATCAAACTCGGGACTTGGCAATCCTCTGTACAGCAAGAATTGAACTTTGGTGTTTGACACTCGGGACTTGGTGAGCCAAAGCAAGACTTAAACTTCCATGGTCAACACCCAGGAACACCTGAGCCATGAAGATTGAATAACATTGACATGTACATAAAGGCAGGCAGTGTAGTATCAGTCAATTACTTCTTTCCCCTTGCTCTTGTCACTCAAGAGGTATTGTCTGATGGCTGTTGAGTTGACTTACTCTGGGTTGTCCTTGCTGATGGCTCAATCACCAGTTTTTTTCCCTGCATGTTTTTTGGCACCAGAGACATGTGCCCTCATTCCATTCCAACATCCTCCTCAACATTGCCAGTGACTCTGTCAGTCATCCCAGCCAGGAGGTCGCCCATTCGTGATGTCAGCAGTGCACCAGTTTTCACTGGCTTGACCAGGCAAGGCTTTGGAATTGCATGTGGGACTGCTGTCCCTTCATGTGCTGTCGAAGGACCTGGCTCTCTTCTGGGTCTCTTTTGCAGGGATCTACCATTGGCTACATCATCATCAGCATCATCCTCCATGTGATGAGAGTCACTCTCAGGATTACTCCTGGGATCACTCTTGGTGTCAGTTGACGAATTCTGAGGCCTTCAGATCATCTGCTTTCTGACTTTACAAGTCCAATGAGAAGGTGAATTCCCAGACACAACTGATGCTACCATGTCTCTGTCTTTGTTCTTCCATGCTTTGAACAGGAATGTTGGTCCTTCGCCTTTCTCCTGCCGAGCATGCCAGAAATTGAGTAAGGCCATAGTGTCCCAATTTTGCAACTTGGAAGGCTCCTTCGAGTCCACATCCTCTGGAACATACTTCCTTGCCACAAAGTCATCCTGACTTTGTATGATGGTGCTCCATGGCACAACTGCCTTGTTGCTCCTGGAACAGATCCCTGTGTCCATGCATTCAACAAATTCTCGGGTGTTGCGATAATAGACTCACAATAGTGTGATGTAAGAAATGC